ATCTGATTGTTCATGCCGCCCTCGGGAGGCGTGTAGGAAAGTAGAGGCCTTGTTTTGTCTGTTCAGTGTTGATAGTGTTGTGTGTCACCCGTAGCCCTTTCCTGGACACCTGTCCTTTCATGTTTTTTGTACTGAGTACTGTTTTTATTTGTACTTGGAATTGCGCGGCCCCTTGTTTTGTACTTGGCCTCTTTGGGCCCTGATCGGGCGTGCAGAATCACCAGCAGCCATGCCCAAGCTGCCAGAAAGAGTGCTTGCATTGTGACAAGATGGTCGTAATGAAGTCAGAAAGTCACGAGCAACATGAGAATCAGGGCGAGCTGCCATGAGAATCAGAGCGAGCATCATGAGGATCAGAGCGATCATCGTGAGAATCAGAGCGAACATCATGAGGATCAAAAAACATTTGTGTATGTATGTACATATTATGTACATATATATATATGATATACATATATATGTCTATCTACAAACATACGTATACACCCACATTCGAGCACGCACGGTTAATGCACACTAGTACGTACGCTGAAGGACAAACGGACGGACGCAAACGCTCACACACTTATGCACACACACACATACTCGATCGCCATGATGGTGATGAGGGATGATCATCACAACACCTCCATCGTAATGATGCTGATGGCGAATCATTGTCGACACGTGGTCATCTTCGTACCGGCGCTACTATCCAAATCTGGGTGATATTCTTTAAATTATACAGGGATACCTTGCATAAACAAAGGTGGCTCCTGACCTGAATGCCCGGAGTTCGGGTTTAAATTAGGGTTCAGGGCTTTGTTTTCGTTGCTTCGCTTGGAGTTCGGGTTTAGGGTTTACATTAGGGTTCAGGGTTTTGCTTTCGTTGCTTCGCTTGGAGTTCGGGTTTAGGGTTTAAATTAGGGTTCAGGGCTTTGTTTTCGTTGCTTCGCTTGGAGTTCGGGTTTAGGGTTTCAATTAGGGTTCAGGGCTTTGTTTTCGTTGCTTCCACTACTTGTAAAACCCTGCACAAACAACTCAACCCAACACATCTCTCACACCTAAACCGTGTAACCCGTGAGCCCATAAACCCGAAGGTAAATCCTCAAGCGGAAACCCTGAATCTGTAGACCTTCCTGCGAAAACCCTAAACCCTTGAATCCCCGTTCGGCTGGGTGATTAATTCGGCGGTTCTGCTAAAGCCTGTACGTTGAGGCCTGGATCTTAAGAGTTTTGGGTTTAAAGTCCTTAAGGTTCTATTTTTTAAGGGGCACCTGGGAAGCTGTTGAGAGACCTGGGAATTGCTTCGACTTCGAAACCTCGGCCCGAGGGTTGAATTCAAGTTGAGGGTTGGGGCTTCGGTACGGGTGGGCTGCGATCGATAAGCGTCTTTTCACGTCTCCGCTAGGCCCGCACGGTAGGAGTTGAAGTGCAGCAGCCAACGCTGTAAGGCTCGCTTGCCCACGCTAGACGTGTGAAGGCTACCTTTGATCATTCGTGTAAAATGACCTATGTAGTCTTCCTCTGTAAAACATGCCGAATTTCTCGGATTCCAATACGATGTATCAGATCTGCAAATGAGGCCACAATGGAGCTGGTGCAGCTTCGGACGAATTTTAAACCTCAGCTGATATTATCGATGGCCCGTACACAAGAAGCTAGCATATCTGATTTCGAACAAGATGCATTTATAACATGGAATCTTTGAAAGCCCAAGCTGAATTCAGACCCAGAAACAGAGGTTTGCACGCCTCCAGGGCTTGCGCCGCCAGAGCGACGTAAGTCTGGACGAATAATCGCCCACTCCTCGTTTGAATTTATCTTAGTTTTTATCGGTTTCGGGTTCCCTATCCTCGAAAGCATATTATACATACATACATACGTACACCAACCCCCAAACCCCAGTATAAGCCCGAAGCCCTAAACCCAAACTAACACCGCTTAGGCCCCCAATCCTAAACAACTTTTCTATTAACTCATATATGTGCTACACAAGCAAAAAGGACTGGACGACAGAGCTCTGGGCTTCGGGCTTTACGGGTTTTGATAAGTCTTAGATATGCTTCTACATCATTTTGGCTTCGGCCCAGAACCTATAACATTACTTATAAAAGATCGAACAAAAATGTTGGTTCGGCGACCTAGCATCTCCCCGAAAGCTTTCCGCTCGGACTCCGAAAACCAGAGATCAGATTTGTCGCATACAGCCGACATTTTGTGCAAAGCCCACGCACACGTGTACTCCATCTCCATACCGGGAAGGTCCTGGGATGTTTGACATCTAGAAACCTAGACTATCTAGTAAATGGCCATATAGGGTTTCGGATGGTGGTACGTTATATGCTTGATAGCATTAAGGTCTCAGGGCTGTCGGTTTGAAATGTTAACAGAAGTGTTAAAACGAATGTTGCCGAAATCTGCCCAACTGCCCGCAAACGATCTGCAAAGTACGTGATCCTTACAAACATCGAATCTATCCACCGGTTAGACATATACAGCACTTTAATATTAGGCAGCAACAACAAAAAAATCTCTGTGTGCAACACACGGCTCAGGACTTTGTTCTCGTAAGCCTTGGCTGGGCCATTTGGATAGTCCAGCGAGACGGCGTCCACACCCATTCTCGACAAGCCTTAGCCGGTAAATATAGGACAGGTGTGCCGACTCAGTGCCGACAACATACAAACATGCGAAAATACATCTTCTTAAGTACTTCGTCAGGATTCTGATTTCCTCGATGGTTGAAGATCTAATGCCGTTGTCTTGGCACCAAAGCTGCATGTCGCTTCGAAGTGTGGCAAGCCTTTCGTCAAACGTAGCACCAGGAAGAAATTTCGAGGCCACCATCATACACAAGCTCCCGTTAAAGTCACGGGCACTGCCCAACCAGCAGCAGTGCAGCAGGTCAGGAATTTCCATCTCAGGTTGCCACCCCAAAAGGTTTTTCAAGTGGATGTCACCTACAGCAGTAGGGCGTGCAGCAGCTAGGTCGGCGGCATTGTTGAACCCCTCATGAACTGGGTCTAACCAGGTATTCTTCGAAGCCAAGCACCTCTGACACAGGCCGTCTTTTCCAGCAGCATTTCCATAATACCTGGTTTGTTTCAACCACTCCTTTCTCCACTTCCAGTCGCCTTTTCCCGAGACGACATGGATTGTAAAGCCGAGGCCATTGTTTCTGTCGGCGCAAACATTTAAAGATTGAACAAGAGTGTCTTGTAGATGCTCCAGAGATATGTTGTCGCCGTCTGCATTCAAATGCATCATATCGCTCTTCATTACCTGATTGCAGGATTGGTGGTTTCAGCAAGTGCTTCAAACTTCAAGATTCGGATTTGTTTTGAATATTTCAACAAACAAACTGAAAGCAACAAAAAGGAAATACACATAGAAACATAAGAGCATTCTGTGTACGGCATGAGACGACGAATGGAAACTTCGTGACGAAAGGGATTCCGTGATTTCCCAAAGGTGACCAATTGATCACGAGGACGTTGCGTGTGCGCTTCGCCTGACCCTCGTCGCCATGTATTGTTATCGCGTATGCTTTCGATTTGCTGGCGTCGTCCCATTGTTGTACTGGGTGTTGCCTAGATTCAAACTCAAACCAACAATTTCAAGTTCCCAAAGTTTAGCAGAGAACAAGAACAAAATAATGTATGTTGAGGCAGGGAACGCACCCCAATCTTCCAAAGCGGCCTGCTTCCAGAAGGCCACCGAGTCGATGGGCCCACTGAGCCTCAGGTCCGATTAATAAGCCCTAGCTGATGATTTTCGAAATCTAAAACACTTCAACAACTCGTATGTTTGAGCCTAGCCACAACTCCTTTTCCAAGCCGGCAGCATGTATGGATTTGCAGATATCATACGGCAAAAGGACAGGCCACATCTGAAATCGACTTGGCGGGGGTGCAGCAAGCACACTTTTTTTGGTGGGGTTTTTTTGTAACCTCATATTTGAAGCCAATCTCAGAATACTTCTTCTCTTAGCAGTAGCATTACGCTTTCGGGCACGTACTTTCTCCATCACGGCATCCTTCAGCAGAATGGATACAGTCGCCGGCGAAACCTTCAAAGTCGCCTCAGATTCTAGATAATGGAATATATCGCTCTACTTGGAACAACCATCTTATACTGCAGATGAGGCACATCCTTGGCGGACACCGCAGCCCGATGCAAAGATTCTTCGATATGATCGGGTCGTTTCCCCGAGTTTCCCAGACCAGACAACCAGGCTGTACCTTGGAATATGTATCGTTCCACATGCACCGATAATGTCGCCTATTGTTCCCCGAATCACCAACAAAATCGACGACCTGTATTCGCAAAATGAACCGAGCGACTCAGTGTAACATTCTTTTCCCCCGACTCACATACAGCTGCTTCAGCAACCCTTTGCATGTCGTGGGCTGCCTGGCCTTTACCAACATTCTTCGAAAGAGCCCGAGTCAAAGGTGACTCTCTAAACGAGAAGGCAGTCGATCTCGCTTTGGGCCTTGTAGGTTGCTCTCCAGAAGCTTCTGACTTCTTAGCCAGCCGTATAGCATATTTCAACATCGTACATCCTATAGCAGAGCATCGGCGCTGCTACATGGGTAGTCCTTCTTTGGTGTATTTGTTGGGCTTCACAAAGTTGACTGGGCTTAGGGTTTAGGGCTTAGGGTTTAGGGAGTTTTGGGCTTAGGGTTTAGGGTGTAGGGTTTACGGTTCAAGACTTGGGCTTCAGGAGCTCGGGTCTAGAGGTGATAGGTTAGGAACTTAGAGCTGGAATTAATTTGGGCATCAAGCTGCTAGGTCTAGAACTTGGGGCATATCGGAATTGAAAGTCTTCATTTCTTGCGGCTAAGAAAGACTCTCGGCTTTGGTATTTGGCCCGTACAGCTGATGCAACAGCAAGATTGAATTTAGATGATCACAAGACATGCAGAACAGCAGGCCGTGCACAGAACTCGAGCAAACTGAAGCTTTGAAGCGTTTTGTCGAGAGTAGGCGAAGGGCTTCGTGTTGCAGCTAGCTCTAGCTTTAAAGAAGCTTCCCCCAAATCCTCGGTGCTATGTTGATCTACAGCCCACGGCTTTGCCAACGAGCCCGAACATAGCTGGAGGCCCACAGCCCCACCCCCGGCCTTCGTACTTTCAATTACAACTAGAATCTACAGGAGGCCCCAGCTATACGGAGAGTGGCCCTAAGTGTCAGATAATTTATCACACGTAGCTCGAAGACTCTATGGGGTGTGGCGGTTCCCAAAACCAAAACATGGCCAAAAGCTTCGGGTCTAGCTCTCGGCCGGCGCTTTCACCGCTGGCTTCGCCTTCTTCTTCGGCTGGGCTTCCTTTTTTTGGCCGCTGATCCTGGGCGCTTCGGATTGTGAGCTTAGGGGTGTTTGATTATTCATCGTATCATAGAAATCGCATGAAATAAACAACCCTGGATATTGTATATTATATACAGTCGACCCAACCGTTTGGCCCGGCCTAAGTCTTGTATTTTTGGGTTTCAGAGCTTCTATTTAGATTTCGCAGTTAAGGGTACACGGTGGAAGGGTGCAGGCTCGATTTGGGGGTTTGGTTTGGTTTAGGGTGAAGGGTATAAAGGGATATATATCGTTGGATATAGGGGGAGGGGTAGATTAAGGGATATTGGTTCGCTTTTCGGGATATAAAGGGATACAGGTTCGGTTTGGGGCTCTATATAAAGGCTTTGGGGCCCAGACCCACTGAATGCGCCTTAACCGGTTGAATCCTTTGTAGAGATGGCCCTTAGGTGTACGTAGCATCATCAAACCTGGATATCCCATACACTGGAGATCCCATTAGCCCCCATACGTGGATTTTCGAACCCTTGAGGTTTCCGGTGTTTGTAGATTTCTTTACGGGCTCGAGGTTTTAGGGTGTTTGGGGTGGGAACTTCACAATCCGTGCTGCAGGAGAGTTGCAGATTGTTCGCAACCTTGGTGTGCTTCTTGTAGGCCACGACAAAGGGAGCTGCCTGGTGCAGCTAGTAGTATTAGGATTTGGGGTTCAGGGGCATATCTAGGTCAGGAATGTGATGTTCTGCCTGGGACAGGATTGTCTGCACGTCGGTCGCTTTGGGGTTGGGCCCCAGGAATTGCAAAGCTTTCCGCTTCTCACCCAAACCATTCTTTGCGTCCACGATCAACTTAATCAGTGCACCCTGGCTTTCAAGGGCCTCCAGCCTTAAAGCAAAGCACACATAGAATTGTTCCAGGAACCGGCCTAAGACAGCACAAAACTTTTGCAGCGACGTAGCTCGGCACACGTGGTAGTGGCCTTTCCTTCGGCCCCTGTGCATGCACTGACCCAGGCACTGATGAAAGCTGGCACATCGCTGCCCTCGAGCAGCACGACCTCCATCTCCGAGCCCTGCCACAGATTGGTGACCGGTGTACATGTTGGATAGGCTACAAGGTGCGATACACATGCAGTGGGTTCAATATGATTGCACACTCTTAAGCAGGCCTGTGGTTTGGCTTGGCGGGCTTTCTTTTTTGGAAGTGGTTCCTCTGGGTTTTTAGGATTCGGAGGTGTAGAGCCAGGAGGGCCCAACTCCAAGCTGTGGGTGGAGTTGGATCTCGTGGGTGGCACATGATGCACAGCAGTCGTATTCGGATCGTTGCCCTTGTACGACTCCAAGAGTTCACAGGCCACCACAGGATCGGCGCCCAAAGCCACCGATATCTCGTCCTGATGTGAATTTTGCATGTGCGCTCCTAGAAATATGAAACCTCACTGTACTACATCGTGGCAGTCTATGTTTAGGGTTTAGGGTTTAGGGTTAGTAGCCATGTTTCGAGGCTTCGGGTGGTCAGACAGCGACGCTCTCGCTGGTAGTAGAGAAAAGTCTCCACGTTCGGGTTGTTGCGGCACGTAGATGTCCTCGGCATATAGAATGGATTCCACGAAAGCCCATTCCCAAAACTAAACCTACCCACCCATATATACCTATATACCTATCATACTTATATACCTATAGGTACCTAAATACCTATATATACCTATATATTCCTATACCTATACCTATATCCATTATACCTGCAGACCTATACCTATACCTATATACATATACCTATACCTAAACCTAGCTAGACCTAAACCTAGACCTATACACCTATATACCTACCTACTACTTCTATATATACATACTTACCTCCCTACCTATACCTTTCTACCTATATATACCTACCCACCTACCTATATACAACGTATACACCTTCTCCGCCCAACCACATAATATAGCTATGTGATAAGGGTTTAAGGTTTAGGGCCGTTTAGGGTTTTTAAAGAATTAAGGTGTTGGGGTTCTTCACCAAATCGGTTTTTTATGCACACAAGAAGCCCCTTCGGTTGGTCACGTCGCATCCTGCAAAAGGCCTCCGCCTTGGCCTGATCTTTCTGGAAGAACTCATAGATCTCGCTGTACGGGTAATAGTGTCCTGCGGATACAAGATTTCTAGGCCCTAGGCTTGGAGAACAGGAACAAGAGTACAGAAACGACATGAATTCTCTCCTTCGTCTTCTTGCAAATCCTCTGTTTGCTTCTTAAACCGCAGGACAGCTTCCAGAGCTAGCCCGTTGCCTTATGTAGGGATAGAGCGAGGAAGCAAGCAATGTACACAATAGTTGGCTTCGGTTAATCCCATGCAAGGCACACCCTGCTTTGACAAACTTCGTGAAAGCTTGCATCTTGAAAGCGCCACCTTTCCTGAGCAGTACAAAATCAATTCGTCGATGGAGTTCTGTAGTTCGCAACATTAACAAGCAATCTCAGAATCTGGCGCATAAGCAGCCTTCAGTTCGCTCGCAGCTGGGTTGGACTCGCAAAAACGGCCGAACTCTTTGTACTCCGCAGGGTGTGTGGAAGAGTTGATGCGACCCGGATTGAGAGGGGGGGCCTTGGGAGGGACCGCTACGGTCGTCACAGGGGGTACTGGATCCGGAGCACCGACTGGCGGGGGCGGAGCACTCGCAGCAGGGAGCACTGGTACGTTCTCAGCAGCTGGCTCGGCTGGGTTTGGCTTCGGCGGTGGTGGGCTAGCTTGCCAAGCCGGGTTCAGAACAGCAGGCGGTTGCATTGCCAAAACCATCTCTCGGGCTAGCTTTTCGATAAGGGCACTCAGCTCGGGGCTAGGGGCATCTGAAGCTGGATTGGGCTCTGCAGCCGGGCAGGGCCCTGCACTTGCGATCTCAGGCAGAGAAGCAACCACTGGCGGCAGCTCGGTTGCAGCCGGGGATGCAGTGTTGGGCAACTCGGCAGGGGTTGCGGCCGGCGCCTGGATCGGCACATATTGTGCTAAAGGGCCTTGAGAACTTAATTAAGGGTTCATATTACGGGTAGGACTGGGCGTTCACATAAAAATTGAGTCCCTAAACCCTAAACTCTAAACCCCTAAACCCTAAACCCTAAACCCCTAATCCCTAAACCCTAAACCGTGCTTGGGCTTGAGGTCTGCATGTGTATATAGATAGATAGATAGATAGATAGAGATAGATAGATAGATAGATATAATATATATATATATATAGAGAGAGAGAGAGAGATAAGGATTGGCAAACAGTTCACACGTGAGGTCTGGGGCAAGGGCTTTATATACAGGGTCCTCGCTTGTTTGGCGGATGACGAGATTTAAAGTATCAGGATTGGCAATCTAAGTAGTTTAAGTCTTCACGTCTAGGGTTTAGGGTTTAGGGTTTGCGGGTTAGGGGTTTAGGGTTTAGGGATAGGGTCTAGGTTTTAGGGGCTTGGGGTTTACGACCTTTGGGGTATTGAGTCTAGGTTTTAGGGTTTAGGATTGGGGCGTCCTCAAAATTTCAAAATTTAGGGTTTAATCACAAGTATAGGGTTCTAGGATGATTGGTTCCGCCTTGGGCACCTCCACTGTCGCGGCAGCCGCTTGGGAGTCGCCGGGTTGCCTTAAATATGGACTGAGGCTCATAAGAATCAAAGAACACCTCTACATTAATTGGAAGCCAGGCTACTCGAAGCTCCGAAGACGGTTCCACCAGCCCTTGTACTTTACGACCTCCTCTTCGGATAGTTGTGGTAGTTCGCAATCGGAGTCCTTCTGCGCCTGCAAATTTGAAGATCTTCTGTAAAGTGTACATACAAGCACTTAAGATTGGAACCCAAACCCCCATTATAAAATTACCGGGCTGGCCTTCTTAGCTCCACGACCCTTCGCAGCCGGTCTGAGCTCGGGCTTCACCGAGGAAGCAGCAGACGTGTCTGGTGCCGAGATACCCTGCCCGGCAGCTGGGTTATGAATATATAGGAGTTAGGTCAGGGCTGGGTGTGAACATGTTTCTTGGTTTTTGTGTTGCTTCTCTCTCGCTCTCTAACATGTATGTATGTATGTATGTATGTATGTATGTATGTATATGTGTATGTGTATGTGTATGTATAGCACGTAGGTATGTGTCGTGTGCATGTGTCTGTATTATGTACTTATCTATATCTCTCTGTACTTTGTTAACAAACCACCTTGCAGACACGACCTTCCAGGCTTTCGTCCGTGAAGGAAGCAGCAGAAGTCAGCAGCGATAAAGAACGAACCGGTGTGTGTGCCTTCAACTGAGCCTTCGCATCCTCAGCACTTGCTTTGGCTAGTTCCTCCTTCATCGCCTGCTCCTGGATCTCCTTCATTTTCTCTGCCATATGAAGCCGATCCTTTGCATCCTGCATCTTTCGGGCCCGAACCTCTGCCTTGCGCTTCTGTTCCTCTGTCTCTCCTGCTTTCTGCTCGGCAGCCGTTTCTGCCAGGTGTTCTGCCTCCTTGCGCGTGTGTTCCTCAGCCTCTGCTGCTAGACGTTCGACAGCTTTGGCCTCTTTGTGCTCCCGTTCCTGTGCTTCTTTTGCTTTCTGCTTAGCTGCAGCCTCCAGCCGTGACTTCAGTTCGGCCTCCAAGCGTTTCCCTGCCTCGGAAGCCTCCAGTACTCTCTGCTCTGCAGCAGCCTTCTGTGCCAGGAGTTCGGCCTCCACACGCTTCTGTTCCTGAGCCTCTCGTGCTTTCTGTTCTGCAGCCTTCTGTGCCAGGAGTTCGGCCTCCACACGCTTCTGTTCCTCAGCCTCTCGTGCTTTCTGCTCTGCAGCCTTCTGTGCCAGGAGCGCCGCCTCCACACGCTTCTGTTCCTCAGTCTCTCGTGCTTTCTGCTCCGCAGCAGCCTGTGCCAGGAGTTCGGCCTCCAGAAGCTTCTGTTCCTGAGCCGCTCGTGCTTTCTGCTCTGCAGCAGCCTGTGCCAGGAGTGCCGCATCCCGGCGCTTCTGTTCTTCAGCCTCCCGTTCGGCCACCAAGCGTGCCAGAACTTCGGCCTCCACACGCTTCCGTAGCTCAGCCTCTCGTGCTTTCTGCTCCTCCGCAGCCTGTGCCAGGAGTTCGGCCTCCTTGCGCTTCTGTTCCTCAGCCTCTTGTGCTTTCTGCCTTTCAGCAGCCTTCTGTGCCAGGACTTCGGCCTCCCTGCGCTTCTGTTCCTCTAGAGTCTCTTGTGCCTTTTGCTCTGCAGCCTGCTGCACAAGTCTCCGGACACTCGCCTCTTTCCTCGCAGCCTCAGCTAGTTCCTCAGCAAGCTGGGCCGCTTTCAGGGCTGCCTCCAGCTCCGGATCATAATCATCCAAATCGGCCTTCTCAAACTCCTGCAGCAGATCCTTGTCCAGTGTGGCAAGATCGGCAACGCTGGAGTTGCGTCCAGGCAGTGCCAACGTAGTGGCATCAGAATGCACTGTCTCGGCAGTGCCCATTCTCGCAAAGCCTGGTGTGCCATCCCACTGTTGCGTGTCAGCTCGTGACGGGTCCTGGCTAGCAACATCGACCAACGTGTCCTGGACGGCCGATGCCTTCAGGATGCCGGGAAGAGGCATCTTACCCGGGGGAGCCACACAGGGAGGCTGCACAGACTCCTGGAACGTGACCCGAGGGGCCGAAGCTTTTTCGACACTCTCTGGGCTGGGGGCTTGCGCTTTGGGCGACGGTGTCACGGGGTCGCTTGGAGGTGTCGAAGCTGCTGCTGCCTTTGTGTTCGTTGCCCCTGGTTTCGTTGCTGGTGCTTTCGCTGCGGCTGCTTTCGCTGCCACTGGTTTCGTTGCTGGTGCTTTCACTGCTGGTGCTTTCGCGGTCGGGGCTGCTTTCGTAGCTGCTGTTGCTTTCACTGCCGCTTCTTTCGGTGCTGCGGCCACACCCTCACTCATCAAAGCAGACCTGAGATCTTTAATAATCTGTTTTATCTGTATCTTTTATTTATTTCTCTCGCTCTGGTGCATGACACTTTAGTTGACGTGGCTCATGCATGTTAGTGCTGTGCATATTCATATATAGACTGTACACTTAGTATGTGCTCCTATGTGTATGTGGGATGTGCTTGTGCAGCTGCAATATCACATCTGTGGTTGTAGTTTTTGAATATGAGCACAATAATAATAAAGATAGGCACACATACTATGCACACACATGCAGAAACACATATGTATTTAGGTATGTGATATGTACATACCTGTACATATATATATACATATATATGCATGCATATAAATACATATGTATGTATGTATGTATGTATGCATGCATGTATGTATGTATGTATGTATGTATGTACGAAGTGCTCTGTGTTTGTCTATGTTTCTCTGACTATATACACACACACACATGCATGTGTGATCTTCGCCGGGTTTTCCAACCTAGCCCCACGAAAGTACTTGCAACAAACAGCATGAAGTTCATCTTTGGGTTTGGGATATTTAAGATTCGGGGGTAGGGATTCAAAGACATTGGTTGCATAAAAGCCACACCCGCTGCTTGACCAGCTCCTGCTGAGCCGAACTCAGGCCGAGGGCAGCGAGGCTCACACCAGCATCGATCGAAGCAGCCACTTTGGCATGATCCTGGATAACTTATAGGGCTAAGGATTTTAAGGAAAGGGTTTTCGGATTGTATAAGCCTAGGAACAGCCTTCGGTACGGTTTCGGCCGGCGGCGCGCCAGCTCTTTTCCCCATGGGTTCTAGCCCCAAAGACAAAAGAAAGCTCGAAAGTCTGAGCCTGCAAAGATCAGTGGATAACAGAACTGGATTCGGAAGCTACATGCTCACAATCTGGACTGAATGACAGCTGCAGACCACGTTCCATATGCTGAATTGCAGATGACTAGAAATTTGTACTTCTTGACGCATTTTGACGCTTTTTTCCGGATTTTGACGCATTTTGACGTGCTCTCGGGTTTCATGCCGTGACCTACCATCTAGGATTTTCTTGTACTTGGAACCTGTCAGGCTGCTAGTGTTGGGGTTTGGGTGTCCGGGCTGGGTAGTTCTAGGATGTATATTAGTCAAGCTGTACGATCTTAGCTTACAAAAATGGTGTCGGCCACCCAGCTGGCAGCATCACCTTCCCGCTGTTCATCATCCAGCTAGCCACACCATGCAAGCCATCCTCGGACAGAAGCTGTCATATCCCGTGCAGTATAGACCGAGTTAGGGAAGAATCGAAGCTTATCCCACGATATATTAAGGTTCAGGGTTAGGGGTACAACTTTATTATATAGGGATAATAATAGGGCTGTACTTAGCCAAAAGGTTTTAAATGTAGGATTTAATGATTCTTGCAGGTTGTTAAGAGCTTTTCCGGATTCAGGCCAGGGGTGATAGGGTTATAAGTTTTAGGACATCAGTATTATAAGGGATATAGGCATCGAACCAGTGTTCCGGGGTATAAGTCTCAGAACCCTGGCGAGTGTTAATTAGCAACCAAAGAATTTGTACTCGCAACAGAGTATGTTCTGGCAACATCAGAATATGTACTTGCAAACAGACTACACTGGGAATCGGTACTTGGCAATCTGTACGGGCAACGAAGTCCTGTCTAGCAACAAAGATGTTGTACTAGGGGATCTGTACTCGCAACGATCGAAATTGTACTTGGGATGCACTAACAAAGAGCTAGAGCTAGGTATGCATAACATATATATATATATACATACATACTGCAATATTTACGACTTTATGTATTGGTTGATATAGAGAAGGTTTGTATATATGCACTATGTACCTCTATATATATATATATAATATCATATAATATATAATATATAGATATAATATTATGTACGATATATCATATATGATATATGATATATGGTATATTATATTCTGAATATGATATATTATACATTATACAATATATATATATATATTAAATATAATATATGTTATATACTATATACTATATGTTGAATATTATATATTGTATAGTAAATAACTCTATAAGTTGATATCACATATACAGACATACACATATATATATGTATATATATTTATATACTTCAATAAGAATACATATTTACGGCTTAGAGTTTAAGCTTTCAGGGGTTTTCACCCCACCCATCTTAGGCGAGCGGCTGCTTCACTCCAGTCTATCGGTGCTGAGAAGAGCTCCTGGATCTCTGCCTCTTCATCATAGCTGTCGCGGTCGATGAAGAGCTCTGTCGCCGCATTGTCGCAGCCCACACAGTCCTGGGATGGCTTGAATTAATTCGGGTGTACTATGTGGGCTTAATTTCCGGTAGGATATATCTTATTATTATTAGTATTCGTGACAGGGCTCTGGATATTAAGGCTTGTTCATACTAGGTTTAGTGTTTATAGGGGGGCGTGTGTATATATGTAGGGAACAGAAAGTACGAGAAGAATTTGGGACTGCGTTTCATGCAGATGGCCGGACTGGGTTAAGTAATATGACTATGCGTGACACGAAACATGTCGGCATCCATCGTGATACATGCACACAGGCATGCAAAGTATATAGAGTCTCGAAACATCGCATGCAGTACTGCGCATAGCACCATATATAGAGACCATCATCTAGTATTGAATTATAGGTGCACTAACGGTCACTAACGGTAGTCCAAGACAACCCAACACAATCCCCGTACCCTGATGCAAGCCCTGGTCCAAAACCAAACCCTAATTCCTAATAACCCGAATATAAGTATATCATTTTTCGAAACCCCGATGTCGTGTCATGTTCGCTTCATCACACCAGATCACGATCGCCATGCAGTTTGCAACATGCTTCGCCAGTGGGTTGTTTGGCTGAAATTCGTCGTCCTGTGACGTGTTGTCGGGATATTATAATATTGGCCGTCGTACCTCTGGTATCGGATTCCGGTAGCATTCATAACTGTAGTAAGTAGTAGCAGTAGTACTAGCAGCAGCAGCAGCAGCAGCAGGAGTAGTAGTAGTAGTAGTAGTAGTGGTGGTAGAAGTAGAAG